AGAACTTTTAAACAGTTTATTTGATATTAACAATGATATTTTTTTGTCAAATTTTTATGATATCTTCAAATTTATATTTTATTCAAAAATAAAATAATTATTGTTTTCTTAAAAAACACATAATCTATATCTATATTATATTATAAAACATTTGACAAAAACTTTTAAAACCCATTTTTTATGCATGAAATACTGTTTATTGATGCATATTACTTGAAATTCAAGATTACAAGTGATTTTGGGTAAGTACAACTTATTAAAGCTTCATTTTTAAATTCGTGTAACTAACTGCAGATAAACATAATAAAATAAAGAATAAACATCTATTTTAAAAAATAAAAAATCTAAAATATAATTAAGATAATCGTTGAGTTTATAACCGAATGTTTAATTATTATCTTTAATAAAAATCATATTATTGTACCAAAAATAAATTACTTTGTTATTAGACCTAAATTAAATTATAAAAAAAATTGAATTAAAGAAGTTACACCAAAAAAACGAGAACTATTAAATAGTTAGTTTTATACTAATATCGATTTTATTTTTTTAATTTTTTTTATGCTATCTTCAAATTTATATTTCATTCAAAAATAAAAACATTATTGTTTTCTCAAAACCACATAAAATCGTATTATATCGATATGGACAAATAATAAAAACTAAACATTAAAATGAAGATTTATCTCGCTGCATTGCGCAAGTATCCTTCTAATTATTAATAATAATTCTAGATGATCAATGATCAATATTAATGAATAAATTTCAATCAATATTTAATATTAATTAATGATTAACAATTATATTCATTAATAAATAACAAAAATAATTAAAAACTAATATTAATTAAAAGTATAATTGAAAGAATTTATTGGTGAACCACCAGATCGTTCGTATGTAAAAATCGACCATATCTTATTAATATCGCTTGAAAATTAGTTTGAACTGAAAACACACTTTGAACACCGGGGAATATTTTGGAGGTCAACAAGTCAATTGTGGTTTTGTAGATTTATTTTGGTAGGGTTCTATAGTTAAAATTTACCAAATTTTTAATAATTTCTTACAATTTTTTTATTAACTTGGATATCCAACCCATTATGTGAGCTGACTAATCTCAGGACGATCACACCACTTGTTTTGCTTTGTAGATTGCCCGGAGTCACCGTATTTGAACCTTCGTTTTTGTTCTTCCTTGATTTGAATCTAAGACCTCCAGACATTTTTGATCTTTGGAGCCAAACTCAAACCAAACAGGCACCACCCTTGTGGTTAATTTCAGAAGTTACGGTATTTGATATATAAAAAAAGTTTCAAGATAGATGGGAATGCATTTTATATATTGCATATTTTGTGTCAACCAATCGACTAAATTGGGAATCGATGCAAGATTAAGATATCTACGTGTTTATATGGTCGGTAATTTATAGTATAAAGATTTACGTCAATTATATGGGTTATCAATAAAAAAAAATAAAATCAATTTGTTTTAAAAGACATTCATCGATTATGTTTAATATATCATCATAAATTATAATATTTTTTGACTTATAGAAGGAAATTCAAACGAGAGAAGAGTAATGTCGAAATACGATCATGAACTTGGATAATGTATAGTCCTCTTCCTCACATACCTCTGTATGAGAGAATACTAATAAAATACACCATATGAAATATGAAGAATTACTTAGGGACACGGAAATAAATTGGCATTCGATTATAAGGCTCCGGTTCATTATCCCACACTGAAAAAGCACTTGTCGAGGTCATCCAACGATCAGTCATCCCCGGACAAAGCCGGTCCAATACATCTTTCAAACTCTCTGTTGTGTTCACCCATTCAAGTCCCTTTTTAGTGTACACCTTTTCATGAAAATCGCTCGTGAAAAATCTATTTGCCTCAAGTCTCCTACAATTCATGCAAAAATACGTCAGTGGTTAGTAATTTATTTGTTTGTTAACTTTTTCCCTATATATTGTGCTGTACGCACCTTGATGCCATGGTTAGGAAAATAAAAAAAGCGGTCTCACTGATGGCAAATCCTTTGATTTTTTTCTCAGCCGCCATGCCTACCAATAAGTCGAGTTGCTCCACATCATCATCGTACACTTCACGCAACGTGTTAATAGCTTCACCATCGTCTGTTAGATCGTCCCATTTGGAGATTGGGATCATGAAAAGCGATCTACGAAACTCATTGTACCTTGGTACATTTCTCTCCCTGTCTCTAAAAACTACATTAACCGTGTATTAGTATTAACCATCACCATACACATTATAACATAAGAACTTTATACCACATGCCTAAAATTAAAGGAAGACTAAATCACAATAAAAACAAAGGTTATAACTGTTTTCTATATAAAATCTCTATATGGACTTCGTATCCGACGTCCTCGACAGACAATATGCAAATCAATTTCGATGAAATTCAATACTTACTGTCAAGTGATGCTAAGTCGATATGATCAGGACGATCTGTGCCGTCAACTTCTTGAGGCACAATGTCCCTAAGCCAAGTGGGATAATTAAATAGCCCAAGTGTTTCACATTCTTGAAGTCCCATTGATACCATTTGTGTCGTGAATCCGAATTTCGATAATTCCTTCTCCCCTTTCTTTCCAATCAAATCTATCATGTCGATGTCGAATCTGTAAATATACGATAATTAGTGATCCAAATATCCCATTATTTGTATCGTTGCAAATCATAAACGATCAATTTAATCACATGGATTCGAAATTAAGTCTTACTTTTTGGTCAATTTTTTAGACTTGTTATGATCTAGTGTTGAATTGACATCCATGATAGAAAGTTGATCAGGTAAAAGAGAATGCATTCTATAAACACTTGTAAACTCTTCGGTCAAGGAATAGGGCACCCCATGGTCATTGCGATTCTTCAACCCTACAAAACCTCCCAGAATGGCATTCCCAACGTGTCCAAATGTGTCCTTGAATCTTTTCCCCAATAGCCCATACCTGAATAATTAATCAATTTAATTAATTTGCAAGAAAATTTCAAGAATCATACTAATAAACAAACTGGTTTACCAGTTAGCTCTCATTCCAGCAACAAGGGTGTCGGTTTTGAGAAGCTGGATGCTCCAATCGATCGTGTGGATCTTAGCAATCACGGCAGAAGTTACTAGTCTTGCGTAACGGTACAAATATTCATCATCCAGATCTTGATATTCTTTCTGATCAATTACCATGAGTTTATTAATTATAAGAAAGTGAGAAACATTATTAGTGATGTGAAGTTAATTCTCAAGGGATTTGGGTATCTAGCTATCTACTACCATCAATGCATCACAAATGGCATTGTGTTCGCGGATGAAGAGGGCTTGCAAGGTTGTTACACCAATCCAACTGTTACGAATGTCGCCTACTATTGGCAATCCATCGTTGTCATGTTGGAGGAGGTGGTCTTCCCCGATCTTGAGCTTTCCGTCTTTGAACGTTCTCACTTTGATCAATTCCCTCAAATTGGTTCCATATATTACGCTCCCGTCCCTATATATATATATATATATATATATATATATATATATATCCACGTATGAATTAATTTCATATATATAAAATATAATGCATGTATATAACAAATTAAAATGTTTAATCTGCGTGAGTTTTATATACATAAACCTAATTAAATCTTCTCTACCGATAAAAGAAAAGACACAAACCACGCGGGAGTTCTGATGTTGAGATGACCTTTCTTGATCTCACAAGAATCAGTGGGAACTTCTTTAGTTTCCAAGAATTTAAAAGATTTGAGAGGGCATGCACCAGCTACTTCTACAGGTGCCTTGAGCTCGATCTGTAATATACATCCATGGTCATCATGTGTTAGTACATTTTATGTTTTAACTCTAGAAGATTACAAACATCCATGTATCATCTGTATTAATATAATTGAACCTGTTCTGATGACTCGCTATGATCAATCCAATCATGAATCATGAATTGAATCCATGAAACAGCAATCATGTTCAATTGTTTTTTGTCACTTTCTTGTTTGCTTTCTTGTTTGCTTCCTTGTTTGCGTGTTAGAAGCTTTGTTGCCACCACCATTGGGTCTGGCTTCAGTAGCTGTACAAAATGAAGGCTTTAATACTTTTTATTTCTAGTTTTTCAAGTACTGTAGGCTAATATATAGTACCCCAACTAGTTATAATGCTGATATATATATATATATATATATATATTAAAAATGTTAGCTCTTAAACTGTGTATATGTATATCATATATGTGCATTGTGTGTGTATATATATACATCAAAATGTGAGTATTTCCATATCACATGTGATGATACGTGTAAGGACTGAGGACGATGACAGAGCCAGAATTTCCAATGAGGGTAATCTGTTATTTAAAAAAAATTGCACAAGACCACCAATCACTTTCAGAGCGTATCAAATCCCTAGATGTGTAGATCTCGACTTAATATAACGTGAAGATATGTGAAACCTTTTTAAAGTATATCGAGTCTCTGCAAGGGCGGACACAATAGGCAAAAGGTGGGGGGAGGGTACCCTAGTCAAAAACTTAAAAAAGAAAATTACTAGGTTAAAATTTAGGTTTTACATGATTTACATTTCACTTCCTCCCATTACATTTTTCCACGGTCCCCCAACCCCAATCGAAATCGTTACTCTAACCAAAAAAATCTATTGAAATCAATCAAAAAAAACCAAAAAAGTTATTTAAAATCGACAAAAACACTAAAAAAATCCCTCAAAATCAACCAAAAAACTTTACAAATACCTCGAAACGTTGTAATTAGGTTAAAAACACATCCGCGACTTTACGGGCCTTTGGTTTACCTTAAGGGTGCGTTTGGTATGCAGATTACATGAGACAGGACGGGACAAAAAAAATAGTCCCATGTTTGGCATGCCATGGACAAAAAAAACATGGGACAAGGTGAGACTATTTTTAATTTTAGTGGGACAAATCTTGATATTTCTTGTTCCACCAAAAAAGGTGGAACAACATGTGACTAAAGTTAAAATGACAATATTTTGATTGATTTGTTGTCATTTTACAATCATTATATGATATAAAATAACATTGAACAACATTTATGGGTAATATGGTCATTTTAATAGTTTTGTCCTGTCCTGTCCTAGTCGTACCAAACATAGGACAAACAATTAGTCTTGTCCCGTCCTGTTCTGTCCCGTATCGTCCCGTCCTGTCCCATTCAGTCTGCATACCAAACACTACCTAAAGATGATCCCACTAGACAAAATTTTTGGATTAGATCTCACTTTTAAGTGGCTACCAAAAGTTCATGATTCCCAAGTCCCAAGAACATAAATGGTCCTTATTAACAATACAAAAGAAAAGCTTTTTACAAGTACGTGGGTGATCGCAGGCCAACATTTGCTCCGCAGTGAATGATGTGCAGGCGATTTAACGGTCATGCCAAGACCGTATTATTTAGTATCGACAACATTAAATTTGCTATAAATACTCTCGTGTTTTTTAAAATGATGATATTCTCATTTAAATCCTTTAAAAATATAAATATTTGCCATATATATATATATATATAGAGGATGTTTCAAATGTAATCCATCACATTTGTACAACTAATACAACCTAATCAATTGAGATATTTATGAAAATGATAATAGCTCATTTATTATGATTTGAATATTTATGGAATATGATTAAAGTTCATTAATTATGATCAATACTTTATATTAGAAAATAATCAAAACTTTTATGAAATCACATATTTATCAAATTAAATGGACGGTTGAGATTAAATTGTATTGACTGTACAAATGTAAAGGGTTACATAATAACTCATATATATATAGATAACCTTGAGGTCCAATCTCAACCACAAATCAATAAATAAATTAGGAAATTTATAATTCTGAATTAAAATTTTAATCCAAAGACATTATAGGTATTTTCTCTCATCTCTCCGTCCCCGGCCTCCGGACATCTTATATGTGCTTGGGTATCACACTAAAGTCGTTTGTGTGGTCTCTCCGTCTCTCGACCTCCGGTGATACCACAGTGGTATCATAATGCATCTTATATGTGTTTGGGTATCACACTGAGGTCATTTGTGTGGTCGATCGGGGAGATGTAACACAGTGGTATCACAATGCATCTTATATATTTGGGTATCACACTGTGTATTTTGTTTAACAGAGTCAGTATTTTTAGGTATCATAGTGTTATCACCGGAGGATGGTGGCCGGAGGACGGGGGACGAAGAGAGAAGAGAAGAGAGATGAGAAAAAAAATACCTAAAATGTTTTTTAATTAAAATTTTAATTCAAAATTATAAATTTCCTAATTTATCTATTGATTTATGATTGAGATTGAATCTCAAGATTACCAAATATATATATATATATATATATATATATTATACTTAAAACAAATTAGTTCTGAGGTTCCGGAGAAGTTCTCCACCGGCCCTATGATTCAATTAACAATGACCACCAAAATTACTTTCCCTCTTTTTTCCTTTCTAAAAAGCGAAAATATGTCTTTTAATTGATTTCGATGATATATTTGAATGATGAGATGTTAAACCAAGGCCTTAATTAAACTAATTCATGTTATAATTAGAAACCCGTCATGGAGGTGGACGTAATAAATCATGAAATTACCCGGCCTTTAATTCAAGCGTATACATAGTAGTCAGATCGAAAGCAGCTGATGTATCATATAAATGTGTGTGTATATATATGTGTGTGTACCTTATCTTTCTGATCAACCGGGGGCATGTTCCGGCCAAAGAAAGTTCCCTGATGACCGCTAGCATCTTCATAGATAAGATCATTGAATGTCCCAACTTTCACCAAATTGTACCTGTTATGAAGATGCCTGCGTATGCCCAAGTATACAAGTCCCAACAACACCGGCAAATGGTGCCATCCAATCCTTGACTTATCAACACCGTGAATCATCTGCACGTTCACACACACACATAAACAATCTTCCATCCTTCAGAATTAACCGACACATTAATTAAGTAATGCCATATCATTTTGTTAATAATTTAATTTAATTAAGCAACATGCATGCATGCAGCTAGCCAGCTATATCTAGATACGTACCAACAAGAGAATCCTGTCGACAAGTCTCATCCTTTGAAAGATATCATGCAAGTCGCGATGGAGGATCAAGTGTTTGATGGGTAAAAGAATAAGAGATATTGTAGAAGACATGAATGAAGAAATTATGGTCATGTCGACGTTGGTTGGTTTTGGTGTTGATCAATGAACAAAATGGACCGTTTCTGATGAGGTCGTTTACAACACCAAGATTAGGTATTTATATACTTATTATGTATATAGAGCTTAGATGGTGGGAGCTTATGACTCTTTTGTGGTTTTGACCCTTTGACGATTAATATTGAAGAACAAGTAAGCGCCATAAAGACTATTCATACCTATTACAGACTTGACTCATTTTATTTTATGGACTTGAATTCCTTTCCTCTGAGTTAAGGGTTTTCTGAAGGTCTTCCTCAAGGGACACTTGGTTCTCAAGGAGAGTGTTGGCCGGGGGCGGGGGGACTAGGGCCTTCCTACTTTTTACCCATATTCCTTATCATTCGATAGCTTAATTAGGCTTTTGAGCGAGCGAAAGCCATTCTAGCAGTAGTTGCCACCGACCAGACATGTCCTTGGACATGTTCTTAAACCCGCAAAAACAAAAAGAGGCGTAATTAGGTTCAAATAACCTTGAATATCGAGAATAAATAAAAAAGCTTTTAATTTCTCATGAGACTAATTTTATAGAAAACTCTAACAAAGCATACACTTTCCATTTCCCCTACCCTTTTTAGTTCCATTTCTAAATTAACCCAATGATTAATTTATTTTAAAGAATTTATTGTGTATTTCTTTCCCGTTTTAATTAAAAAACGCAATTTTTATTGATTTGATGATTTATTATTAATTTTAAATGAGTTATAACATTACCCAACACAACAGGGATTCATCAGGAATTTCAACCAACTCAATTATTGGCTTTCTACTTAATACTATACTATTGCTCTGTCTGTAACGATGGTGATGGTCATGGGGCCCACCCCATTTATCTCTTGGAAAAATTATAAATAAATTGATTTATTTTTTAATAAGTTAAATAATTATCATCATAATTAGTTATTTAATTTATTTTATATCATTTATTTTACATCTTTATTTTATTAAAACACATAATTATATATTAACTAAAATAAATAAAAAAGGGGATGTTTACGTG